TTTTTTTTTTTTTTTTACGTCAATACTCCTGATCGGATGCTAGGTGTGCTGATAAGAGCAGACACATCTAGCACCGTCAAGCAGGCTCCATCTATTTGTGGGGAGCAGCGACTGCTGGAAATCGGGTCCAGCGTCCCCTTGGATACATCTTTGTAGCACAGTGTTTGTTGGGCATATGGCCATTAGAGTTGTTTTTCCCGAGCTTCATTCTCTCCTCCGGGGCTGCCTATGTTACCCTTCCAATTTGAAAAGCTCCTACTTCCCACTGACCTAGCCCCACCCAGGAGAGTGTTCGCCGTGCTTTAATGTCTGCACACTTCCTGGCGGTAATGGCTAAACTCGTACCCTTGGTGTCTGCAACCCCCCATTTTCTAAAACCCTTTGTACCTATTAAACCTTGTACCCTCATCAAATCCCGCGTTTTCGTATGTGGCCTTCCCCGGGGGTGTTGAGGGGGTGGATGGGCTGGGGGGGGTTCGGGTGTCAGGGGGTACCACCCCATAAAAAAAAAAACTAAATTTTTTTTTTTTTTTTTTTTTTTTTTTTCGGCCCTCTCGGGGGTAAAAATAAATAAATTTGATTGATTAATTAATTGGTTGATATGAAGTGGGGGGGGTTCACCTTCCCCCCGCGAACACACACACACACACACACACACACACACACACACACACACACAAGCATGTGGGGCAACTGCCCGTTTTTTTTTGGTACCAAATTCTTTTATTTTCTTGTTTTTTTCTCTTTTCTTTTTGTTTTTGATTTTTTTAAAATCCTCTTTAAGGTCAAAAAATAGAAAAAAAAAAATGGCGTTGTAGGTCTCGAAAAGATCTACAACCCCATATTTTTACTTTTGTTTTTTGATTTTGTTTTGCCCCTAAAACACCTTCGGACGGCCGTCGTCCGTACGCTCGTACGGCCGTCCGTCCGTCCGTACGGACGGGCCGTACGGAGACCCCCCGTACGACGTACGGGCGACGACACAGGCCTCGGTAAATTGGGGGAAATCTACCTACCTGCTACCGGCTTAATTCAAGCTAGAGGTACAATGGGGGATGAAACGAGTGGGAAGGGGCGAGGAGGAGAGGTTCCTGGGGTTTTTGATAAGCCTCCAAGTGGAAATTTCGGTACAGGGCTCGATGCTGCAGCAACGCGTAGCGGCAAGGCTCAGGTTGTGGGGAACGGCGTGGCACCTCTCCTTGTTCGGGAGGGCATTGGTGACTAATGTAGCTCTGTTCTCAATCCTGTGGTTCGTTTCCACAGTGAGAGAATTGGCTGCCGGGGTGGTAAAGGAGATCAGGAGGCTTGCGGCGAAGTTTATTTGGAAATCAAGGGCGCAGTCAACAGAGGGGTTCATCGCCAAAGTGGCCTATGACACTCTAGCCTTCCCAAGAGAGGAAGGAGGACTGGGGTTGGTGGACCCAGCCCGCAAGAATCAAGCACAATTGTGAAGTTGGATCACCAAAGTGGCTAAGGCGAAGGACCGGGAACACTGGATGACTTTGGCAGAGAGGATTCTGATGAAAGAATGGGGACTAAGTCGGCCAAAAGATGTATGGGCCTGTTTCTTAATTCCGTCTTTCAGAAAAAGGAAGCTAAAGTCGGGATTTTGGGAAGCAATTCGGAAAGCCTGGAAACAGCACCCGCCCGACTGCCAAAAGACGCCGTCTACAAAGGATGAAGTGCTGAACCAGCTGGTATTCGAGAACGCAGCAATCCTGGACCAATCTGGCAACAGGTTGCTGGCGGACGGATCCAAGGGCTCCTTCGGACAAGCCTGGATAAAGCGGGGAATAGTGAAGCTGGAAGATCTGTGGTCCAGCACACTGGGTAGTTGGAAGCCTCTGAAGGAAGTGAGAGCAAAGTTAAGGGGTCTCCAACGAGTGGAGGAACACTGGGATGCAGTGATAAATGCTGTCCCTCCGAAATGGATGGAGATACTAGGACCAGGGGGGGTGGACCCAGTGGGGACTTGGTACCTCTCAAACTCAGAAAGGGAAGGGAACGTGCTGTGGAAAGTTAAAGAGATCATGCCAAGTGGGTTCAGAAGAGTAGAAAGATGGCGAAGTGAAGGCTTTTCAAACTCCCTGGCTCTGCTCGAAGAAGTAACAGTAAAAGTCTGGGACAATCCAGCACAGGCGAGAGTGGTGGAATTGCGAATTGAACCAAGAAGGCGGTGGACACCCTGCTGGATCGGCAAAGTTCCACTTCTGCAACTAAGCCTAGACCCCTGTGCTTGGAGCTGGTCACCAAGAGAAGAGAAACAAGCGCCTATGAATTTGCTGGAGTACACGGTCGCACAGGGGTACCAGCGCGCTCTACCTAGTCGAAAGAAGCCAGCGCAGATAGCTACATCCAGATGGCAGTCAATTTGGACGGAAGATCTCTCGGAGGCCGGCCCTGAGTTTGAGAGACTGTGGAAAACTCTCAAAATCCTGCCAAATGGAAAGCAGGGGAGCATACTGTGGATGTTGTCTCTGTTAGTAACTCCGTCAGCGGTCTGGTTAAGAAGCAGGGGTATGGAGGTTAATCTCGGATGTTCAAGATGCAGATGGCTGTTTGAATCAACTAGGCATCTGTGGTGGGAATGCCCAGCATCCAAGCGGATATGGAAATGGTGGTCGTATCACTGGAGCAAGTTCGGAAACCCGTCCATTGTCTGGGACGAGAGATGGGTTCTACTGGGTTTCCTACCAGACAGCACTAAGGGACACCGAGGCTGGGGGTACATAGCCCAGGTAGTCAGGGGTATCATCTGCGAGGTGATTGGACAGACAGGAACAGAGCAAGATTCCAGGGTAAGCCCCTGTCGGACATGGAGACGAAATGCCTCATCAAGAAGGGCTTGAAGCAGATCATCCGGGTAGACTGGAGAAGAAGAACAAAAGCAGGCAAGAGATCACGAAGCCAGCTGCAGTGGTTTCGGCGCACCTGGGCTAGAAACCAGAAGTTAGCAGACATTCACACAAGCGGGAGACTGAGAATTTCGCAGTGGATCCTAGAAATGGCTAATACTGGGGAACGAGAAATTAAAGGACAGTTAGGAGAAGGTTTGTTGAGTAACGAACCACCCACCAGGACACTCGGTGGAATAGGGTCGAAGTAGGCCTTTAGTAGAGTGTCAAGTAGGAACCGGTCCTGGGCCAGGACCTCTGGGCCGGGTTAGTCCCGGACAGATAGAGTAGGAAGAGGGAGAAAGCGCAGAACAGATCTTAGTTGGGTACAGGAGTACTTGGAGCCGAAGTGCCAAAAGGATCAACTGGTAATTGATTGAAAACAGACTAGGACTGTTTCATCGGAATAGCTAAATTTTGGACTAAGTGTTTACGCATTAGGAACTGGAACTCAGTAGAGCCGAGTTCTGCAGACCACGGTCTGTAAGCTAAGCTGGCTGATGCTGTCAGTACCACCGGGTCGAATTGTGAGGTCCCGGGCCTCGTCTTGAATTAAGTTATGGAAGTATGAAAAAAAAAGATTCTGAAGCGGGTCTCGCGTGACGCGCCCAACAGAAACCGGGCGCCGCCGCGCGGGCCCGCTCTGAGGCAGTGGGGCGAGGGGGAACCGGTGGCGCGTCGGTGTCGGCGTAGCGAAAGCCGACCCGTCGGTCCGTGAGGCGGGACTGGGGCACTGTGGGCCTGCGTGGCGGCGTTTGGTGGTGGGCGGATGCGGCCCTGAGTGCAGTGCAGTGCGGTGCGTGGGCCTGCGGTTTCTTTTTTTCGCCCGTCGCTCGGGGCGGGGGGGACCAAACAACGTTATCGTGCGGGGGGACCAAACAACGTTATCGGAGCGTTGCTTTGCGGGGATCAACGGTGCGTGCGTGTGTGTGTGTGTGTGTGTGTGAGAGAGAGAGAGAGAGAGAGATTGGATGACATAAGCATCGCCGAACAGGTAAGTCTCCAACCCCTGGGCTGGCCTCAGGTACTTGCATCGATAGATGAGCAAAATTGAATGAATCTTCGCTAGGACATGGAAATATACCAACTACACGTGTGTGTGTGTGTGTGTGTGTGTGTGTGTGAGAGAGAGAGAGAGAGAGAGAGAGAGAGAGAGAGAGAGAGAGAGAGAGAGAGAGATTGGATGAGATACGCATCGCCTAACAGGTAAGTGTCCAACCCCTGGGCTGGCCTCACGCTACTTGCATCGATTGCATCGATAGACGAGCAAAATTGAATGAATCTTCCGCCAGGACATGGAAATATACTTACTACACGTGTGTGTGTGTGTGTGTGTGTGTGTGAGAGAGAGAGAGAGAGAGAGAGAGAGAGAGAGAGAGAGAGAGAGAAGAACAGGTAAGTTTCCAACCCCGCCCCTGGCCTCACGCTATTTCCGTCGATAGGATGAGCAGAATCGAATTGCCTGTTGGCTGGTGCGTTGCTCATTCTATCGATGGAAAACTCTCTCTCTCTCTCTCTCTCTCTCTCTCTCTCTCTCTCTCTCGGCTAGCCACGTGGCGGGCCATTTTTCTTTTGTTTTTTTCATAGGATTTTGTTTTTTTCATAGGAGATGGCTATGGCGGGATCTTTGTCACGTTGTTTGGTGGAGGAGGAGCGGGAGGAGGAGCGGGAGGAGGGATGGGAAAAGGAGCGGGAAAAGGAGGGATGGGAGGAGGAGCGGGAGCAGGTGCGGCAGAAGGAGCGGGAGGGGAAATGCGAAGGTGCGGAGGAGCCGCGGGAGGAGGAGCTGGAGAAGGAGGAGCGGCAGGGGAAACGGGAAGGGGGTTAGGAGCGGGAGAAGGAGCACGAGGAGAAACGGGAAGGGGCGGAGCGGGAGGAGGGGCGGTAGAAGGAGCGGGAGGAGCACGAGGAGAAACGGGAAGGGGCGGAGCGGGAGGAGGGGCGGTAGAAGGAGCGGGAGGGCGAGCGGGAGGGGAAACGGGGAGGGGGTTAACCAACGCGCGGGAGGCGGAGGAGGGGGAGGAGATATAGGTGGAGGAGGAGAAGCGGGAGGAGCACGAGGACGAGCGGGAGAAGGAACGGCAGGAGGAACGGGGGAAAGAGCAGGGGAAGCAGAGGGAGAAGGAGAAGCAGCAGGGGGGAGAGCGGGAGAAGGAGGAGGAGAAGAGGGAGGAGCGGCAGGAGAACGAGCGGGAGCGGGGCTATGGCGGGATCTTTGTCACGTTGTTTGGCGGAGGAGGAGCGGGAGGGGGAGGAGGAGGAGGAGGAGTGGGAGGAGCCGGAGAAGGAGCGAGAGGAGGCGTGGGAGAACGAGCCGGGAAGGAGCGGGAGCGGGGCTATGGCGCGGGAAGAGGAGCAGGAGGAGGGGGAGGAGGAATGGGGGGAAAAGCAGGAGAAGCAGCGGAAGGAGGACAAGCAGCAGGAGGAGCGGGAGGAGCAGCAACAGAGGGAGCGGGAGAAGGAGAGGGAGGACGAGCGGGAGAAGGAGTGGGAGCGGGGCTATGGCGGGATCTTTGTCATGTTGTTTGGTCGAGGAGCGGGAGGAGGAGGAGGAGCGGGAGGAGGAGTGGGAGAAGGAGGGGGAGAAGGAGGGGGAGGGGATTGGGGATGGGGTTGCATCTCACAGCCCCTTGCTCCGTACTCTCCTTCTCATTTTGCACATTGGAAGGCTGCTCAGTTCATGCACACATGAAACTTGAAGCGGCCCTGCCTGCGCGCGCCTGTGTACACGGAGAGAGAGAGAGAGAGAGAGAGAGAGAGAGAGAGAGAGAGAGAGAGAGAGAGAGAGAGAGAGAGAGAGAG